GGTGAGGCCATCTTCATCTCTCACTTGGACTACTGCAATGGACTCCTCTCTCCATTTCTATTCTTGCCCCCTTCAATTCATCCTTCACATATGAGAAAGAGGAACCTTCATATAAATCATACTGCTCCCTACTTGAAATTGTAGAATGCCTTCCTATTGTACTCAGATCAAATCCAAACTTATTTACACAGCCTGCAAAGCTCTATATAACCTGGACCATACATATTTCCTACTTAGCCTCATATCACTGTATTACAGGTATACTGTGCTAGAGTCTCAAACAGGGAGATACCACATTAATTCTCTCTCAGACCCTCTGCTGTTTCCTTTGTAACATTTATTATGCTGTATTTATATTTTTCTCTATCAGGCTTCCAACTAAAATATCTGTTTATCTTTGTTTCCCATTGTTTTCCCAGATCCCGGGACACAGGTATTTTGTTCAATGATCAGATGAATGAACAGATGTCAATACAAAATGATCTTCCCATGCAAAGAACGTTGGTGCTAGAAGACATCCCTGAAAAGCAAATCCCCAAATTTTAATTCCCGAATTCTGTGTTATGGCTTCCACAGATAATCTTGTGGGGAAATGGAAAAATTCTTTTTTCCTCTGATTCTTTTAGGCTGGTTGAATAATCGAATCAGTATGAGACAGACTGAGAAGAGAAAATCAAATGTAATTTCATGCCCATGGGGAGCCCATCAGTATCAGAGTCCGAGTCCCCGCACATATGAGAGATCCAGAGAGAGAAAAGGGAAAATGAGGTACATAAGACATTCTGAGCTTAGGGGGAGATAAGGCACCTTGGGGCTTGAGTGTCACTGTAAGACTTAAAGCACGTATTCAGTAATCAGTAGTTTGCCCTGCCATATAGATAGGCCAAAAGAGGTTATTTCTGATAAGCTCTTATTGTGGGCAAGGCCTCTAATTCAAAATCTTCTAGGTAGCTGGGGGAGGGGAGGCAGAAGTTTCTTTGTCCTGCAGGGTCTCAACATAATCTGCATATTACAAAGGCTCCCCTTGGGGTAACTCAGTCTGAACTCCTACAATGTGGACTTTTAACAATAATACAAAAAAGTTGAGAAAATGGCCTACAAGAATGCCTCATTTTGTAAAGAATCCCACATGTAAAATTCACAAAATAAAATTGTGTATATAAATACAACTATTTACAGAGATTTCATTAGTAATGAGCAAACAATAATCAAGTAAGCAGCGAAATAAAGATGTACTTGCAAAAGAGGGCTGGGAAAGAGTTCTTAGCAACTGCTCATTAGGCCACAAGATGAGGAAAATGACAATCATGGTTAACTATGTGTCAGGCACTATTTTATATGCTTCATGTAAATCTGTTCATTTAGCCTCAACAATAGAGATACTGGCTACACTGTCAAGGAGGAAATTGAGACAGCAAGAGGCTAAGTAATCAGCCCAAGGGTTGCACAGTAGTAGAGGTGGAATTTGAACCAAGGTAATTTAGCTTCATAGCCTTGACTTTTATCATTACCTATCCAGTCCATTCAGAAAAATTTGTAAAGACCAAGGTTATTATTACTAGTGAACCTCAAGAACAAGGGAAAACATCAAAAAGAATTACAAAAAAAGTACGTATTTCTGGAATACTGCTGACAAACTTGATAGCAATTATAGTTACACCAGCTGGGATAGGATTACTCAATAGGTTGCTCTTGCTTAATTTAAAAATGTCTTAAGCTTTAAGTAACATCTTTTATCTGACACAGACAAGTATCACCTATTCAAATTTCCAATTTAAAATAAGCTTTGCATAAGGGTTTACATAATACATAATAGCAGCTCACTCTACACAAAGATGATTTCCAGACAAAATACGAAGTTTCTTGAAACAATGAACTTAAAAGTTTATCCCCCAAATATCTGCAAGTCTTTGTGAAAGCATAGTATTAACACAATAACAGACAAGTTATCTCTTCTATTCATCCAGTTTGTTTTGGAGTTTAGATTCTCTAATCTGGAGTTTATTTCTGAGGGAGAGAGGGAGAGAAAGAGAGAGAGAGACCGCGTGCGCGCGACACACACCAAGTTTTGTAAAATCAATGGAAACAAAAAGAGTTCCCAAGAAGACAAAGAATTAACTCTTCTACAATGTCTATTTACTTAGAATGAAATAATTACAGAAACGACTCCACAGAGTAAGAGATAATTAATATAACAGAATGATGAAATTACAAAGAGCTTGAAGAAATTTTTTAGCAGGATCAAAGTAATTCATATAGCTTCCTCATACTTATTAGCAACAACATTCACTCAGTGAGACGTGTTACACAGATCCTCTGTCTTTTCCACTTGCCAGAAAGAAGACACCTCGATACCCGATAGTAACAAAGCACGAACTCAGAATAACTGTTCTGAAGAACAGAACTAATTTTCTTTCCTTCGAACATTCCACTGCAAATCTCGCCAAGCAGTGTTTTTGTTTTCATAGAATTTACAAGGCTCAATCAGCTAAAAGGAGGAAAGATGGATAGACACATGTAGATTTCTTTAATACATAAGAGAAATTATTTTCATGAAAACTAGCAAATTTTACCAGACCATACAAAGATGCCTGGAGACAACTTAGAACAGAAAGAACATTTAGGATCTCATTTCCAGTTCAGGTTCTGGCACTACCTAAGCCATATGGCCTCAAGCGTGCCCATTACTGATTGTTTCTGGGCCTCAATTTTCTCATGTTAAATGGGAAAACTCTAACTATATGTTAAGAGAGGTTGTTTCGACTTCTAAATACTGCATTAAGTATGTTTCAGTGAAATGATAGTGTCTTACTTAATATAAATAAGGCTACTTCTAACCTCTATTTAACTATATATAAGCACCAAAAGCTTCAGCTTCCTCTGCACTTGTAAATTCTTAAGTGGCAATATATGATGACCAAAAAAGATCAGTCTTAAACTCTCAAATGCAAAGCTATAATCACTTCCCAGTCATCTACTTATTAATCACAGTGACTAACTCAATGTATTACAGCATTAAACTATTCCTGGCTAACTTTTATTGTGTTCAAAATAGGGCAAAGATCATCTCAGTAAAGTATACAATAATATCTTGAGATAAACAGCATGCTTATTATAAAACATCAAATTTTGAAATGATGCAAAGCAACAGTGTTCTGCACTGATATATGTCCAGATTTCAGAGTAAAACGACAGTATCACTGTATCTTCATTTATATAGTGATTATCACATTTACTATCTCAATCATTGTGACAATCCTATGAAATAAACTGGGCAGTACCTTTATCAATACAATCCAGACCAGCTCAGAAAGGTAGGTAACCTGTAAACCATCACTCAATAAATGCTGGGGGCCTATACTTCAACTCAGGTTTTCTGATTTAAAGTCTTCTGCAATCCTAAAAAGTGGCTATTCACACCAAGGCAGGAAGAAGGTGAAAAGTGAGAAAATTTGGGTAATTGGTTCCTGGATAACAGAAACTGAACAAAAAGAATGTTAAGATCAGGTCTGGCAGTCACAGTCCAATAAGCAAATTTACCAAATAGTAAAACTAGTGATAACTTCCAATTTACACAATTCCACATTTCAAGTATCTTATCACCTCATTTCAGACAAATGTGAAAATTTTTTCTTAATAAAAAAATAAGAATAATATGTAAATTAAACAAACAACAAACTGATTAAACTAGCTACAGGTGAACTTTTAAAAGGCACTTAAGTATTTCAGAAACCTGGTTATTCTGGAAGGAGCATCACAGAAACTAAAGTACATTAATCAAATAGGATATATCCTCAGAGTAATAGAAAATATTCAATGTTTTAAAATAAGAGGCAAACAAGCAAAATATAAAAGATTTCTAGTGTGGAGTCATTTCACAACTACACAAATCAGCTACATTGTCTGGATACCAGCACCCGTCTTCCAGAGGTCAATAAAAACAACCTAGAATGCATAAAACGTTGCCTAGTAAATAGTAGTTTCTCTACCATCGTTTATGCTCATATACAACCAATATCAGAATAATATAATTAATAGGTAGCAGTCGGAACATTAAATTCTCTATCATTACAACACTAGAAATACTTGTACAAGCTTCTCCAAAAGATCAGTGCAATCTGTCTGCAAAACTTCTGACAAGCCCCAAAAGAGAAATGAAAGATACTCAAGTTAGGAAAAGGATCTCTTTTGACAAAATAGGTATAAACAGTGCCAGAGCCTATACATTATGAGAATTCCCAATGAATTTGCAGGAAAACAAAAGATAATAGTGTAAAACCTACTGGAGTTCCTAAGTAATCTCAGCAGTGTGATATAGGACCACAAATGACTTCTTGGAATTTGAGAGATTAAGCCGACCTTCATGTTTGACAGCAAATACCTCCACTGTAATAAATGCAGAGGTCAGAGGGGTTAAGGGATTTGGAAAAGGTGGAGAACCTTACTTTTCACGAAAGCAGTGGGAGACGTGTGAAGGTCCTCTGCGAGCCATTCTCGAAGGGGAGGCCCCATTCCCTTTGCTACCAACGCTTTAGAAGGAACTTACACAGCTGAACTTTGTTCAGAAGCAGGTCTATTTAGCGTCATGCGCTAGTGTTTTGGGAAGTCAAGAACCCAAACTGACAGGTCCTGAGAAACAGCTAGGTCACCAGCAGGGAAGATCTCCATTTACTCTGAAGTCCTAGACACCCGGGAGGGAAGAGGAGATGGGTACTCTACAGAAGCTTAGAACAGGTTCCACATCAGTCACGCTCAGAGCAAAAGGTTCGGAGTCTAGTGTTTGGGTTCAGTGACCTGGTGGCCAACCAGGGAGAGGTGTCCCAAATAACCTGGCTACCGCCAGACTGAGACACCAGTCAGCAGTACCCGAAAACACTGCTTGAAGTCGAAATCACGGTGCCCCAGATCTGCACGGTCTAAGTGGGTGAGCTCAGAAAGAAGCCAACCTCTGCGGACAGTGTCAGGCTTCCGTCCCCAATTCCCCGCGCTCGTTTACCTACCCGCTCTGACTCCAACTTCTCGGGATCTCAGGATCCTGGCAGCGGCACCTGACCGACTCTCACACCCGCCGCTGGGCTCCGGCCAACCGGAACTTCACGTCACTTCCGGTCCGTGTTCCCCCGGGAGCCTGCCTCCGAAAGAGAAACGTTCCCACCTCTTTCGGCAGCCGCGGCTGATGGTCGCGGGATTTCGGTTTGGGACCTGTGGGCGGGGCGAGAGGAAGAATGACTGTTGTCTTAGCAGTTCTTGATCCGGAACTTGTCAAGAAACCACGGAAGCGGTAATCGCGTGTTGGAAGCGTGTTCGCTACTCAAAAGTGAAGAACCTAAAGACGCCAGTGACGTGAGGAGAGGTGCTGTAGGTAAGTCGGCCCTGTGCCCCTCACAGGGCGAAGGAGTAGGATGTCGTTCTCCCTTCTTTCTCCTCGTTGGAATGTTTCTTCCCACTTCTTTCCGGAAACCCCCCATTGCCACTCCTTCATCTTCGTAAATTGGCTTTCCGCCCAATGGCCGCTGGAGCCCCTGTTTTTTCTGCTATCCATCCTTTGGAAAAAGGTACCAAGATGCTGGGGAGTGGAAGGACCCAGAATTTTCAGTTCCCAGACAAAGCCTCCATTCAGGCAGCATCGATGTGCTCGCTCCGATTGTGAGAAAATGCGGAGCAGGCCTCACAGTCTGCTGAGGATTTACCGAATACCCCCAGCGTGTCAAGTTGTTTCCAGAAATAATGCTAGAGAAGTATTTAATTCTTTATTACTGTACCCCAGACACTGTACTAGACGCTGAGAATATGACCTATCGTGGTTATATTTAAGTGCCACAGCAGCTCTGAAGAATAAATAATTAAGACTGGGGTATGGTAAAGATTTCAGAGACAGCCATTTGAACTATGCCTTCACCGGTGAAGAGGGTGTTTTTTGTTTGTGTCTATATATTTAAGTAGAGAAAAATAAAAAATAATTGCAGGGAAAGATTGCTGCTTGAAAGGACCTAGTGATTTGGTGTGGCTGTATAGCACAGTATGTAGCAGGAGAGTAGGCTAGAAGGATAAAGTAGATTGTAACCAAATTGTGTAGTGCTGTAAATTCGTGCAAAGGGATTCAGGTTTTATTCTTTAGGCATTTACGCAGTGATTGAGCAGAGAAATGAGAGAATCAGATTGTGTTATAGGAGTATAATTATAATGGCAGATGGACTAGAATGAACTAGGTCACAGGTGAAGCAAATGTAATTAGAGATAGTGAAGTCACTGTATTTTGCCGTGTAGAATGTGCACGTACGTTTTTGGCCCAAACTTTCAGGAAAAAAATAAATCTTTCATTTTACAGTATGTAGATAAGGAATTAGTACTACCCAAGTATAATGTGCATCCTTATTTTTCGCTCAAAAATTTGGGCAAAAGAGTATGTATTATACATAGCAAAATATGGAGACTGACAAAATTTTGTAGACTTTTGACCAAGAGGTATTTGGGGCACAGCTAGTAGAGATAAGGAGATGGTTTAAGACAGATGACTTAAACCAATTTTGGTGACTGGGTGGTAGGACAAAAGAGGAAAAGTCTAGAGTTACTCAGAAATCAAGAATACAGAAAAAGGAAGTTTGAGAGGGAAGGAAAGATACCAAATTAAGTTTAGGGCCCAGTTTACTGTATTTCATAGACATCTCAGTGGTTAAGTCTAGCAAGAGCTGGAAAGTCAAATCTGAAGCCCAAGAAAGGCTTTAGGAATTCTCAGATGTGATGATTTGGGAATAAGTGAGACTGTTAATCCGACAAACTTTAATGCCTGTCTCCTACTAGAATGTTAGTTCCATGAAGAGTGGGACTTTGTTTTGTTCAGTTTTCTAGCTCCAGAGTCCAGAAGAGAGCCTGGTGCACAATCAGCCCTCAATAACCATTGATTGAATGGAAAGAGAGTGTATAACCCAGCACTGTCCGATAGAACTTTCTGTGGTCGTGAAAATGTTCTATATTTTTGTCTGATAGAGTGGCCACTAGCCACTCTTAAGTTGTTAAGCTATTGAGCACTTGAAATGTGACTAAGTGCAACTGAAGAAACTGAATTTTTATTTTAAATTAACTTACATTTAAATAACTACATTTGGCTAATGGCTACTATATTGGACAACGTAGGTAGAAACTGAAAAGAGAGCCAAATGTGCAACCTCAGATAATAAAGCCCATCAGCAGGGCAAAACAGAGGACATTGAGCTAGAGGAGGAAACCGGAGAAAAGCTTGCAGAAAGGTAGGATGGTAATGGGGTGACAATGGGGTGAAAGAGTTCAAGGGAGGAAAATCGAAAGAAAAGTTACGAGTGGTGCAGAAAACTCAAGATGAGGCTTAAAAGGAGGCAACTGTAGGACAGCAAGTGCCTGATCCCTTAGCAATTTCAGTTGAGAGGATAAGGGAGGCAGGTAATTGAAGAAATTTAGAGGTCAGTGGAAGAGGAAAAGTGAGGCATTGGTTTAAGGTCCAAGAGGAAAGTTGTTTGTTTTTTTTTCATGTTGGAAGAGGCCAAGGGGGCAGTAGCCAGTGCGGTGCGATGAATGGAGCGAGCACGGTTCCGGAGGTGATGCAGTCAAGAGCATTGGTGAACGGGGAAAAGTCTGGCAGAGGAATGAGAAGGCACCAAGAGGAGGGTTTTATAGGACAGGTTTGTTTTGTGAAGCTATCGTTGTCCAGGATTATCTGTGAGACTGCAAATAGTTATTTTTACCTTAGTTTCAAGAACGGGGTTTATTGATAATTTTATAGTAGATAAACAGAAAAGGAAACAGGCGGACACACCTTTTAGTGGAGTTAGATGACAATCTGATCAGGCTGATAAAAGATTAGAACATTCTAAAGAACGAAGATGTTAGTATTAATTTTAACACAACTGGTCAGTGTGATACCATGATAAAACATTATTAGTCTTAACCTTGCTTTTACATTCCTTTGCAATCCTATTGTGTTTTGCTGCAACTTTTATTTCAATCTTCCTCAACTCTAGCTTGACTTTTGTTTGTACAGCCTCCCTCCCTCCAAGGAAAACGCCCTGCCTCCAAATCCACAGACCAGTCACATTTGATCCCTGACTGGGTAGCATCATCCGAAATGCCCCAATCAGGGCACATACAAAGAATCAACCAATGAATACATAAATAAATGAAGCAACAAGCCAGTGTTTCTCTCTCTCCCCCCCTTTCCTTCTCTCTCTCAAAAATCAGTAACTTTAGGTCCCTTTTAAGTCCTCTCTGTCCTGCTACTTTGTATTGTTAATTCCTTCTCTATCATGAACATCTATTTACCTACCTTTCCTCTGGTTCTATTCATTGACACTTAAATATGTTCAACTTTTAAATATGCTCATTTCCTTTTCTCTATATCCCATTCTATCTATCGCTTCCCCCACCCCCTGCTCTTTCACTTTCTTTTCTATTTCTTGATCCCACCTCAAACTACCTTCTGCCCCCCACAACCACTCCACATTAGTTCCTCACCACACTGACCTGGTCTTCCTGCTTCTGTATCTGTAAAAGTTGAGCATTTAAGAAGTAGCTCCAGAAAGCACTGCAACTAGAGAAAGGGATGTGTGAACTACAATAAAATGCAGAGGGTTTTTTGGTAGGTATTTCAGAAAGTGTCTGAATACCCAGGAAGTGAAAATAGTTACAGGTTTTATAATATTAAGTAGCAATTTCAGGGAAATTAGTATTGTCCTGGGAAGGGCAAGGTTTGAATTTGAGATTGCAAGTGTGGGGATATTGGGTTCACTTTTTAATTATCTGCAACTTTGATTTAAATACAACCTTTAAAAATTAGGGTCTAATACAGCAGTATGTGTTAAATTATACTTTTATAATTTGGAGATGAATTTATAAACATTTCTTTCTTTTCCTTCAGATATTGAGTGTAAGTCATTGTTCTCTAACAAATACTGAAGGTCTTTAGGCCTGGCTTACCTCATTTTTATTTTTCCCAATCCTTCTAGGAGCTCTCAAGACAGACTTGACTTATATGAAGATCTGTTTGCAGAGGCATTGTTTTTCTTTGTTTCTGAACTAGAGATAAGTCATAAGGCACTACAGCAGTGGTTCTCAACACTATCAAACCTCACTTACACTTTTTTATAAAGAATCATCTGTAATGAGTGAAAAGTGGTGCACTTTATAGTTTGGCAGTTCCTCAAAAAGTTATAAAGTGGCCATATGACCCAGCAATTTGACTCCTAAATATATAACCAAGAGAAATGAAAACATATATCCACAGAGGAAGTTGTACTCATAGCCAAAAGGTGGAAAAACCCAAATGTCCATCAACTGATGGATAAACTGTGATATACCCATACCATGGACTATAATTTATCAATAAAAAGGAATGAAGTAGTGATACATGCTACAAAATGAATGAGCCTCAAAAATATTACACTATAGAAGTCTGAAACAAAAGGCCACATATTATATGATGTGATTTATATGAATGTCCAGAATAAGCAAATTAATATAGATTAGTGATTGCCACAAGCAGGTTAGGGGGTACATGGGAAGCGACTTGCAATGGGTAGAGGTTTCTTTGGGGGCAGTGAAAAATGTTCTGGAATTAGGTGGTGGCAGTTGTTTCACCATCTTGTGGACATATTAAAACCACTGAACTGTACACACTAAAAGTGTGGATTTTATGTGAATTATATCTCAAGAAGTTTAACATCCTCTTCCCCATACTCTCTTCATATTAAAATATTTGTTAATACTGTGTAATCTACTATGTAATTTTAAAAAATATTAATGTCTTAATTTTAACATAAATGAGAATAAACTTTATAATAATATATGTATTTCCAGGATTGTACCACAGATCATATGAATCCAACAGCCTTAAATGTAGACTATGTTTTATTGGTGACTCAAATACCATGAACACCTTTGCTGGAGTAACAGGAATTTCCAAAGGATGATCTTCCTTTATTTTATATAATATACTTCTGCTAAATTTAGTATATATTAAAACTCTCCAAAAAATACTTTGTATATAGTTTTGCACCTCCAACAGGACAAATCTTCACGTGTAAGACTTATCATTCCATGCTCAGGTCTAATGTCAGCAAGACATCTCACTCCAGGTCCATTATACAGACAATCAGGAACTTAACTGAGGAGCTGGTACCATCCCCAAGAGAACCATTACATTATGAAGACAATTAAATAAGCACTATGTTCCAGGAAAGGGGGTGGAAGAGTTATTCTTGGTTTCTTTAGATCCTTTGGGCATCTTGGTAAAACAGAACATTTCCTTTCTCACAAGAGTTAGAGAAGACTGAGGAACAGAGGTTTGTTGGATCCAAGAACAAGAGACTCCTCACATCAAGACTCAAAATGACCTGAACTGTTTCATCTGTATTCTTGAATTTTTTTCTAGCACACAGAAAAAGTGGTACACTCATAAGATGCAAAATATATTTTGCCTTTTTTCTGGATGACCTCAGAGTTTTTTCTTCTTCTTTTATTGATTGTAGAGAGAGGGCAAGGGAGGGAGAAAGGAAGGGAAAGAATCATCAATGCGAACGAAACATTGATTTGTTGCCTCTTGAACGCCCGCCCCCCCCCTGCTCCCCTACTGGGGACCCAACCTGCAACCCAGGCATGTGTCCTGACTGGGAACCAAACTGGCCACCTTTCGCTTTGCAGGACAACACCCAACCAATTGAACCACACTGGCCAGGACCTCAGTTTTATGTATTGTTGCTAATATACTAAGTTGTTTTATCTGATAAGCCTGTAACTTTTCACTGCTACATAGTGATAACTGTTTTCCTTTCCTTTAAGATGCTCTCCAAATCCTTGGTAATGGAGTATCTGGCTCATCCTGGTACACTCAGCGTGGCTGCCGGAGTAGCTTGTGGCATGTGCCTGGGCTGGGGCCTCCGAGTACGCTTTGGGACGGTCCCCAAAAGCTCAGTGAAAGAGACAGACACAGGGACCGGAACTGAAGCAAGCATCTTAGGAGAGAGTGGGGAGTACAAAATGATTCTTGTGGTTCGAAATGACTTAAAGATGGGAAAAGGGAAAGTGGCTGCTCAGTGTTCTCATGCTGCTGTTTCTGCCTACAAGCAAATTCAAAAGAGGAACCCTGAATTGCTCAAAGAATGGGAATACTGTGGCCAGCCCAAAGTAGTGGTCAAAGCCCCTGATGAGGACACTCTGATTGCCTTAATGACCCACGCCAAGATGCTGGGACTGACTGTAAGTTTAATCCAAGATGCTGGACGTACTCAGATTGCACCTGGCTCTCAAACTGTCCTAGGAATTGGGCCAGGACCAGCAGATCTAATTGACAAAGTTACTGGTCACCTAAAACTTTACTAGGTAGAATTTTATGTGATGATTGTCCCCCTATCGCAAATGTTTGAAACTGTCAAATTCTAACAATAAAAGCTGAATTTCTTCCCCCAACTTAAGTATTCTTGAGGTGAAAATCTGTTCGTGTTCTTCTGTCATGTACTTGGCACAGTTACACAGTTATCTTGGGCTAAAAAACAAAAAACAAAACGTTGGGTTAAACTGTCCTGGTGGCTTAAATCCTGAAACAAAAAATATTTAAAAGAGAAACAGGTCATGACAAAACTGGATTACAAGGGGGAGGAACATTTCCTATGCATTGTTAGGTCCCTCTGCGTGTTAATAGCCCTTCTTCCCCAAGACTACGTTGCTGTCACCCTTGGAGAGAACCAGTGGATGCAAGGATAGTCCTGCTGGATGCAAACTGCGGTTTTTTACTACCAAAACGTTTTGGGTGACTCAGAGGCTACTTTATTAATAGATGGTATAGCCACCCACAAAGGGTTTAGAATCTAACCCATTTGGTTTTTAAATTTGTCTCAAAGTTGAGGTTTAATAGCATTGACATAACTCACCTGTGCAGTGTTTCACGTTCATTTCCCCAACCCACAGTGGCTAAATGTTCTTAGCAGTGGCTCTGTATCATAACCTAAAAACTTTGCTTCACTTTCCCATTCCGAAGAGTGAAGGCATTGAAACTTGCCAAGTGACTTGTATGGACCTTGAAGGTGGTAACAGGCACACGTAGGAATTTATGGTCATTGTGAAGTGAAAGCAGTGTGTCATTCCAACATCCCACTGTTTACCTAGAACTTAAGGAACTTAGATAATTCAATTATTTAGGGGCACCTTTATTTCCCTTTTGATCTCTGTACACTTAGCATAATTCCAGTAATTACTGTTTTACCAGCTGCCCAGAATATGAAGAAGGTCCCAGCTCCCAAAGCTACAAAGCTACCATCCTTTCTGCATCTTTTCTTGCAGAAAACCACTTTTCCTGAAAGCCTCGTAGGGGGATCCTCACAGTGTATCCCTAAGCACTCTGATGGTGCCAGAGGGAATCTGGCAACAGGCACACGTTGAGTGGCTCCACCTCTCCATGGTTAACTTCAACAATTAGCATTAGTTAGCAGTTCACTTCAACATAAGCAGCATGACAGCACAACCAAGGTCTAAGTTCAGTGGAGTGTGCGGGCCCAACTCGAGACTACTGCAGCCAGTCTTAAAGGTTCTAATATGTGGTCAGTTTTACACCATTTACACTGGCCCATGACAGCACAGAAGAAATTTTAACTGTGAATGATGCCACAGTAGCAACTGTTTCTAAAGAGAATGTTTATATCACTAGATTCAAAAGTGATGCAACAGCCTGTAACTGGGTTGAAGAGAACTCAATCCTAAATGCATGGTTCAGGCTCAGGTAATTGCTGAGGCTTGCCTCAGAGACCAACGGTTCCACGTGCAAAGAACAGTGCATTCCCCCTAGAATGGCCTGCTGCGGCTGATTCAAATTATTGTAATAAGTCGTGACATACCTACTAGGATCAACAGTGTATAAATTCTGGTGATTTTGGAAATACATCATTTATCAGTTCATCTGTACTTAGAATTATTTTTAGGATTTGTAATCAAAGTTCTCAAAGTATGGGCAAGACCTTAGGGGTTCTCTAAGACACTCAGGAGGTCAAAACTATTTTAATAATATTAAGACATTATTCTTCCTTTTCATCATGCTGGCACAAAAGAAGTGGTGGGTAGAACTGCTGGCACCCTTCACAAATTAAGGCAGGGACACCTACCTGTACAAGTGGTTTTCACTACCCTTCACCACAGTTTAAAAAAAAAAAAGTTTCACTTAAAGTCCTTGAGGAAACAGTAACAATATTACTAAATTTGACCGTTGACTACAATATCAAACACTTCTGGTGCACACCAAAGTATGAGAAAAAGACCTGTGAGGCTGAGTGGTGAGCTGAACGAGCCGCTTTGTCACAGAACATTTTTACTGACAAGAACAACTGACAAACTCTAATTATCCAGATCTGAGTGTTTGGCTATAATTTCCTCATAGATAACAACTGACAGTATTTAGGAAAACTTTTATCTGCCTCTCCTCCAAGCTCCCCCCAATTTTAAGACACTTCTGATAAGATCAGTTTCTCAAAAATATGATTTTAAAATATATAATGTGTCAACATTTAGATGAGCTATGTAACTTAGTAAATCAGTATTTTCCATATAACCAATGCATGAGGATACAAATCATGCATGGGTAAGAGATCCAGTCAAAGCAAAGACGGACCAATGCGTTTTAATGTAACAGTCTAAGTAGTTCACTTTTATGGTTTCAGATTCCACATTGCAACTAACCCCAATTATCTAAAAAGGCTATTAAAATTCTTTCCTAATTATAGATCTACATGAGGCCACATTTCCATTTACTTCAACAAAAACAACACGTAACAGACTGAATATAGAAGAAGATGAGAATCCAGCAGTCTTCTGTTAAGACAAATTTTGAAGAGAATTGTTGGTTAATTCATGAATCTTTGTTAACACAGATTGAGTTTATTACTGTTACACTTAAATGGATTGATAATTTTTAAAAATTGTTTTAGCTACCAATACAGTAAACATCAATAGATACAACCCCATGTAAACTAAAACTCTTCAGCAATTTAAGAGTAAAAAAAGGATCCTAAGAAAAAGTTGGAGAACCACTGGAGTGAGAATGTCTGCATGACTAAATCAATTACAGGAAAGCTAAGCAGAACTACTTGGAATCACCGGCTCGTCTCTTGCTGTTGTACTAATGTCTGTGTTGAAAGAGCTACCAACAATCATCACAGGTTTTGATGCACAAAGGCCTTCCAAAGAGTGTCCCAGTAATGTCTCCCCTTCCTCTACACAGTTTCAGTTACATTTATAGTGCTAAGGACTCTTAGTACCCTTGTTGACTGTTTTTAATTCCTTCTAGGCCACTGACCTATTCAGAATGTTAGGGAAGGTACTTTAAAATACAGTTTATTAATAATTCATTCACTATTTATTGTATACCTATTATTGTCCAGTCTTGACCTAGGCATTTTTGTGATTTAAGCCTACTCCAGCAAATAATTCTGAAAACTACTCATACTGTTATTCACGAGAGAGAACAAGCCCAGAAGTTTATTTTGCCAGGATTTGAGCCTGAGTGAAAGCAGTTCAACAGCAGTTTCTCCTTCTACTACAGCCCATTATATAGATGGCTTAAGTGGCAATTCATTATCACAGGATATAGCACCAGATTAACAAGGCTTTTTTTAGTTCTTTTTTTTTTTTTTTAACGCTATAAGAAAATCTTTATGGAAGTTTTTTAACTTGTTTCTATCAGGGAAGGGAAGGAAAAGGGAAAATAATTCCAATGATAAAACTGGTTGACTCAAAAGTACAGGAAAGGTCCAGAACAAATGTTGAGTCTGAAAAGAATGAGCTCACTGGGACCATTACTGTTCTACCTCTTGATTTTGATAATGATGAAGAAAGAGAGCAGAGACCCAGCAGAAACAAAAGTATGACCAGGGCCTGAACAGCAAGATGTCTTCATTATGACAAAGGAAAGGATTTTCTAGCTAACACTGTAATTTCCTATAGGAAAATAGGGGCAAGAAATTAAAGATGAGGGAAAGAAAAGAGGTTCTTAAGTTAAAAAAAAAACCTTCTGTGGCAGTACAAGTCTAGGTAGGGGACTCTAAAACTACTGATGATTATTACTGAAATGAACTTTCATGTAACATTCTTAGCCATCAGCGAAGAGTTGGATCCAAACACTTTTTTTAAAAATCACCTTTAACTACTGTTCATTTGGGGACCCTTACAATTTTGTGGTGAGGAACGCATGTTAACTATGTGTTTCTATACTTTTGTTTCAAGTTAATATTTAACATGCATGACCTGTTCATTTAAGTGAAATGCTAGAGGAAAGTGCCCCTTGGTTATGACAGAGCCAGCTGAAATGTAGACCACTACAGTGCTGACTGGTTCTTTAGACGACTCCATGTACCTTATCAACTACAGCAGTATGCCCATGATGTGAAATAGTGTTTCACACGTCCCAGTCCTAATTCCACTCCTGCTCTCACACCTCCCTGTGCCTTTGGGATCCAATATAAAACTACCAAAACCAATGGTTCTTTTGGTTTGTCTGAGAGGTATTTAATTAAAACTGCCATTCTACATGTTATTTCCACAGTCCAGTAATTTATTTTAAATTTGAGTAATTTTAAATTCCACAAACAAAACTGAAGAACAGCAATATTTTGTTTGAATTCTCTCTTCTGTACACTCAGTGATCTAAAACACCACAATATCCAACATACACAAACCTCAGGGAAGGGTTAGTAAATACACACAGATTGGAATCATGGTGCTCTTTGTTCCTGAATGAAATGGTCCCACAGAAAAAGCACAGGATACAGCACAACGTAAGGGCACCTGTTACATAGGAAGTGAGCAAAAACACACTAGCATTTTCTATATGCGTAATGAGGAAACCTGCATAGGTTAGAGGGCCTTTTATGCTCATTTAAAAGTCAGGCAAGTTGTCTGTAACGCATTTTTCAGATAATTTGGAGAGCACTGCAGTCCAGTGTAGCATGTGCTGTTAGTGTTGTCTTTGTTGCAATGACAGTCTTGCACAGTCACACACCAATATTTTCGCTTTAGCTTGTCTTTGAATAAAAGAGATTTAAATGCATTTAGACAATACATATTGTAAGCTGTTTACATACACTAAATTTAAGAGCTTCAATATTAGAGTTTTTCTTTAAACACTACAGAGTGCAAATCAGGTTCTTCACAACAGATTGAATATTAAGTAGTTTTTCAAAGAACAAGAGGGAAGAAAAAAAAGCCCAAGTGAATAAAACATTGAAACTATTCCCCTTTGAAAATAAATTCTAAAATGATGCGGAATGTGAAATAAGCTTTTAACACAGGAGATCCAAGTTTATAGTTAGAAACAAAAAGTCCTTCATGAAATAAAGGTTACAAGGACATGTGCCTGTTTTCCTCTGTTATAAACTGAGAAGCGGGCAGAGACGATGTTTCAGTACGAAAATAGGCGACTAC